TGGCATGCTGTAATGCATTCTGACATGCTGTAATGTATTTTGACATGCTGTAATGTATTCTGACATGCTGTAATGTATTTTGACATGCTGTAATGTATTTTGACATGCTGTAATGTATTCTGGCATGCTGTAATGTATTCTGGCATGCTGTAATGTATTCTGACATGCTGTAATGTATTCTGACATGCTGTAATGTATTCTGACATGCTGTAATGTATTCTGACATGCTGTAATGCATTATAGCATGCTGTAATGTATTCTGACATGCTGTAATGTATTATAGCATGCTGTAATGTATTCTGGCATGCTGTAATGCATTCTGACATGCTGTAATGTATTCTGACATGCTGCAATGTATTATAGCATGCTGTAATGTATTCTGACGTGCTGTAATGCATTATAGCATGCTGTAATGCATTCTGACATGCTGTAATGTATTCTGACATGCTGTAATGCATTATAGCATGCTGTAATGTATTCTGACATGCTGTAATGTATTATAGCATGCTGTAATGTATTCTGGCATGCTGTAATGCATTCTGACATGCTGCAATGTATTCTGACATGCTGCAATGTATTATAGCATGCTGTAATGTATTCTGACATGCTGTAATGTATTGTAGCATGCTGTAATGTATTCTGACATGCTGTAATGTATTATAGCATGCTGTAATGTATTCTGACATGCTGTAATGCATTCTGACATGCTGTAATGTATTATAGCATGCTGTAATGCATTCTGACATGCTGTAATGCATTATAGCATGCTGTAATGCATTCTGACATGCTGTAATGCATTATAGCATGCTGTAATGTATTCTGACGTGCTGTAATGCATTCTGACATGCTGTAATGCATTATAGCATGCTGTAATGTATTCTGACATGCTGTAATGTATTCTGACATGCTGTAATGCATTCTGACATGCTGTAATGTATTCTGACATGCTGTAATGCATTCTGACATGTTGTAATGCATTCTGACATGCTGTAATGCATTATAGCATGCTGTAATGTATTCTGACATGCTGTAATGCATTCTGACATGCTGTAATGTATTCTGACATGCTGTAATGCATTCTGACATGCTGTAATGCATTCTGACATGCTGTAATGTATTGTAACATGCTGTAATGTATTGTAACATGCTGTAATGTATTCTGACATGCTGTAATGTATTCTGACATGCTGTAATGTATTGTAACATGCTGTAATGCATTCTGACATGCTGTAATGTATTCTGACATGCTGTAATGTATTCTGACATGCTGTAATGC